TACAAAAGTACATAGTAGTTTCCGCGATATAAAAGCATAAAACATAAAACAGACGTTTTCCTATCTATGTCAATCCTTGCACAGCTGAATAAATCCGAATGAATATATGGGCAAAGTTTAGAAGTCAACTCCGAGATGAGAATAAATTCTCTTATTTTCATATTCTCATATTCTCTCGCCAGTATCGCTGCTATCGCACGCAATTCGCCATTAATCACGGATTTATTACGGGACATGCACCGAAAGTAGAGGAAAACCGGGGAAAATTTCACTTTATGACGAATAAAACGAAAAATCGGATTTTCCGTGGACATATAATCAGAAGTGCCAAGTTCGATACTCGTTTCGGTCAGCCTGATGTCAAGCAGTATGACGTCGGTTTGCACTTGGAAATCTTGATGACAATATGTTTTAAAAAGTATAGTAGGTGTCATTTTTGATAATTTTGAAAATTTTGAGAATTTAGATTTTTTGAAAACTTTAGATTTTTTTGGAAAATTCGTAACTTTTGAAAAAAATCTACTTATTGAAAAATTCGTAACTTTTGAAAAAAATCTACTTATTGAAAAATTCGTACGTTTCTTGAAAATTTTGATATCAAGCTGTATGACATCGGTTTTCACTTGGAAATATTAATGGCATTATGTTTTAAATTTGAAACTTATGAGAAATTAGACTTTTTGAAAATTTTAGATTTTTTGGAAAATTTTGAAACTTTTGAACAAATTCTACTTACTAAAAAATTTGTACGTTTCTTGAAAATTTTGATATCAAGCGGTATGATGCCCGTTTTTATTTGGAAATATTGATGGCGATATATTTTAAAAGTATAGTAGGCGCCATTTTTGACAATTTTCAAATTTTTGAGAAATTAGACTTTTTGAAAATTTAAGATTTTTTTGGAAAATTTTGAAATTTTGGAAAAAATTCTACTTATTAAAAAAATTAAACGTTTCTTAAAAATTTTGATATCAAGCAGTATGACGTCGGTTTTCGCTTGGAAATATTGATGACAATATTTTTTTAAAAGTATAGTAGGTGCCATTTTTGAGCATTCTGAAATTTTTGAGAAATTAGTTTTTTTGAAAATTTTAGATTTTTCTGGAAAATTTTGAAACTTTTGAATAAATTCTAATTATTAAAAAATTTAAACGTTTCTTAAAAATTTTGATATCAAGCAGTATGACGTCGGTTTTTGCTTGGAAATATTAATGGCAATATGTTTTAAAAAGTATAGTAGGTGCCATTTTTGAGAATTTTGAAATTTTTGAGAAATTAAACTTTTTGCAAAGTTTAGATTTTTTTAGAAAATGTTGATACTTTTGAAAAAATTCTATTTAATAAAAAATGTGTACGTTTCTTGAAAATTTTGATATCAAGCAGTATGACATCAGTTTTCATTTGAAAATATTGATGGCAATATGTTTTAAAAAGTAACGAAGGTACTATTTTGAGAATTTTGAAATTTTTCAGAAATTAGACTTTTTGCAAATTTTAGTTTTTTTTTTTTGAAAATTTTGAAACTTTTGAAAAAAAATTACTTGTTAAGAAAATCGTACGTTTCTTGAAAATCTTGATATCTATCTCATTCAAGTTGAACCATAATGTCGAAAATGTCGAGAAAATTTGTTTGAACTATATAAGCTACATGAACATTACAAATCTTGGTATGGAACCCAAAATATGAAAACAAAATTTGTATTTATTATTAAACCCTATATAAAATATCTGAATTTGATGAACATATGTCATTTTAGACCTTAAATATCATTTTGTTTTTTTTTTGTACATCCATATATAAACACACATACATCAATTTTTTTTAACTGTAAGGTGGTATGCCAAAATGTTCTGAAACCCTTGTAACATAAAGATAGGCAAAATACTCATTTTTGATTTTTTTACGATTAAGGGTGGCGGATTACAAAATATCACAAAAAATCACGAGGGAAAAGGGGAGTGCTATTAAGATATCATGTGTTTATTTTATAACTGAATTTTAAAAAAATCTGAAAATTTTCAAAAGTTTTACGATGATAACTAGATACGTGATGCTGGGTGGGATGGGAGGTTTCCAAAAATGTTTAGAAATCGATCACGTGATTATTAGACAGTTAAAAATAGCGCTTATTCGTCATTGTCATTAAAAAAGAATCTTCAGTATTACAGAAATTGAAATTAATTAATAACAAATTCATTATGTAAATATTTTATATATGACATCCAATGGGACCATATAAAAATACATCTTTAAGACTTTTCCTGCTGCGCACGCATATGTTGCGTGAGACCCTTGTCAATAGCAGAACGCCGAACGAAAAAGGTGTATTCGTAAAATAAAAATGTTTAAATTAGATTTTAGTACTGTAATTATTTCAAATAAAAATAGTCCTATGTATCCAGTTTTTGTCTTTTTATTAATTTCCAGCTAACATGCCCAGAAATAATTTCATTTAATATAAAACGAATAGTTTAGCACAAAGGGAAGTATGATAGTATCAGCACAAACCACACGTCACTGTTTCAGACAGGCATATCAACGTTAAGCCCCGTTCTCCCCTATAATCCTTTATTTATGAAACAAAGTCGAGTTTTGAGATTCGAATCTCGAGACAACACTCTCCCGCATGCGCTATAACTTTTGTTTACTATTATAGTCGAGTTAATTGACTTTATATGGCTGTAAAGTTGCAAGTTTATATACACATTATCATACATAGAATACTTTCATACATACATGGTGTTCTAGTACGAAACCTGTAGAGAATGTATTTATAATGCATTGGGAAAATTCTTTTTTGACACAAATCGGAGGAGTTATATGCAAAGGGTCACGATAGACCAGAAGTAGGATTAGCAATCTAGCACGGGCTAGTTTTTGAGAAAGTTAATTTTTGCTTATTATGGGGTCAATTCTCCTGGGACCTGATTGCACAGCAAATACATAACTTTTTGACCCGTAACCATAACACACTAATTTTATCCGAGATTTGTTCCCTAAATCTTTATTTAGCTTTATTTAACTAGTTGGTATTGGTATTTTGCCTTGAGGCAAGTTACATGAACTTTCAGATATGTGTAAATAAACGACTTAATCAATAAAAAATAACTTAATTTATGAATGATTAAAAGTATTCCGAGTGGATTCATTACACATGATTGAAAACGAACGAACACATTAACTCGGAGTATTTTCTAAAAGCAAATTTTCAAAAAATCAACAATTTTTATAATTGAACCAGTTTCCGTAGGATGTTAATGGTTTAGTATGTTCATTAAGACCAAGTACTCTATCGTTATACCAAGTAAATCGTCTAATTTTAAATTTAACAAACGTCAAAAAGACTACTCATTTTCTCAAACTTTGATGAATTTTTAAAATTAAACTACTTGTCTTAAGGTTGTAATATTTCAGTACGTTTTATAAGACCATGATATACGAGTATATCGCCAAAAAAAGTTCCATAAAAACCGGCTTAATTTTTTTTTTAACAGTTAATTACAAGAAAACGACTCGGTAGATTTTCACCTAAAACTAATCAGTATCATTCCCAACTAATATCTTTCGAACAGTTTTTGATTTTATCAAATCGATTCGGTAGTATGAGCTTAAATGTAATGAAATTTTAACACTTTTTCCCAAATTACAAAGAAACGGCTTGGCAGATCGTCGTACAAAACTGACAAACGATAGTCCTCATTGAGATACATCAAATGGCTTTTAAGTTTTAGAAATCGGTTCAGGCGTTTTTGAGCAAACGTCGATGAAAAGTCTAATTTTGACATATGCCAAAAAAATGATACTAATTTTTGCAAACTTTGAAGAATTTCTAAAATTAAACGACTTGTTGTAGGGCCGTAATATTTTAGTATGATCTATAAGACTATGGTAACTACCGTCAAAAAAATCATAGTCGTCGAAAAATATTTTTTAACACTTTATTACAAGAAAACGGCCCGGCCGATCTTTACCAAAAACTAATCAGCACGATTCCCAACCAATATCTTACGAACGGTTTTTGAATTTTCAAAATCGATTCAGAATTGCAGGCTAAAACGTGGACGAAAATTTTTTCACTTTTCTGCGATTTACAAAAAAACAGCTCGGCCGATCGCCGCACAAAACTGAGAAACGCTAGTTCTCATCGCAAAACATCGAAAGGCTGTTAAAATTTTGGGATCGGTCCAGCCGCTTTTGAGAGAACGTTGATTTACGGCAAAAAATCTGTTTACACACACAAACTTTTTCCAAATTTGGTCTCATTCGATTCAGAATGGCTTGAAACGTCGAGAAAACATAAAATTAGCAAATCGGATTTTTTTACTAAAACATAAACTTCTCCTTCGAGAAGTTAAAAAAAAACATACTTTGCCCTTATATTTGGTCTGATTCGATTCAGAATGGTTTGAAACGCCGAGAAATATATACTTCTTTTATTTATAGAGAAAACATAAAATTAGCAAATCGTATTTTTTTTATGAAAACATAAACTTCTCCTTCGAGAAGTTAAAAAAAAAACATACTTTTCCCTTATATTTGGTCTGATTCGATTCAGAATGGCTTGAAACGCCGAGAAATATATACTTCTTTTATTTATAGAGAAAACATAAAATTAGCAAATCGTATTTTTTATGAAAACATAAACTTCTCCTTCGAGAAGTTAAAAAAAAACATACTTTTCCCTTATATTTGGTCTGATTCGATTCAGAATGGCTTGAAACGCCGAGAAATATATACTTCTTTTATTTATAGAGAAATCATAAAATTAGCAAATCGTATTTTTTTATGAAAACATAAACTTCTCCTTCGAGAAGTTAAAAAAAACATACTTTTCCCTTATACTTGGTCTGATTCGATTCAGAATGGCTTGAAACGCCGAGAAATATATACTTCTTTTATTTATAGAGAAAACATAAAATTAGCAAATCGAATTTTTTTATGAAAACATAAACTTCTCCTTCGGGAAGTTGATAAAAAAATACCATCGATCTTTTATTACCTGCTTTGCAAGGATCGACATCGATATCGTTGCTGATCTTCTTCGGAAACTCCGTGTTGAGCAACTCCTCGGCGGTGAATTTGAAACTCCGTTTCACGATTCTCCGATCGCCGCCGCTTTCCGGTCTGTCTTTGTCCTGTTTCCGGGGGAAGTCGTCATTACTTCTCGCTCCGGAACTCACTTTGACGTCGAGAACAAATGTCAAAAGCAAAGGGCACCAACACCACCACAACAAATAAGAACAAGTACGAGATAACTTCATTGTAACGGACTTAAATTACTTTGGAAATTGATTGAACTATGATAGTTGAATATTGTTGGGTTTCACTATTGTTTTTGGGCACTATTGTACACCTTCTTCATATTAACTGTTTCAAGTTTTTATGAACTAGTTTGGAAGATTTTTGATATTCACTGTGCTATGAATTTGATATTCACTATGCGAGTTTGGCTGGCAGCATTTGTTGAAAATCTGTGAAAAGAAATAATTTATTAATTATACAGATAAATAAATTTACAAGTGCATTAGACATAACTAAAAATAGATATCAATGACTTTCAAATTAGAAGACATTTTTTTGACGTTTGTTAAACTTAAAATTAGATGATTCACTTGGTTTAACGATAGAGTACTTGGTCTTAATGAACATACTAAACCATTAAAATCCTACGGAAACTGGTTCAATTATGAAAATTATTGATATTTGAAAATTTGCTTTTAAAAAATACTCAGAGTTAACGTATTCATTCGCTTTCAATTATGTGTAATAAATCCACTCGAAATACTTTTAGGTACAATAATAATTTAAAAAAATGTGTACACTGCTCTTTAGTCTTACATAAAAACATAAATAAATCGCAAACGTGGCCATTTTGCCATTACTTTATTTTAAATTGCTTCCCCACTTCATAGAGGCGCTACTAACCATAGCTTGTAAATTTACCCCTAGGTATGATTCTAAATAAGATTTATATAAATATTTATAAATATAGATTTATAAATATTTATTGCAATAATGCGCGTTAGGAGAAAGTTTTTGTGCGTGTTTTTTTTTAGAAAATAATTTTTATTTAAAATTTGAAATATAAATATAAAAATTTTAGTCTTTGACTTTGAATTTGGAAGACATTGGTGCAATAATTTGAAAAAAAAACGTGTACACTACCCACTATCAAATTCCTACCTACATCAAAATTATTTTATTGATGACAAAATTATTTACTGCAACAATACGCGTTAGAGGAGCGTTTTTGTATGTGTTTTTTAAATAATTTTTATCTTTAAATGTAAAAATAAATTTATCAATTCTAGTATTTGGTGTTTTAGCAGTTGCATTTAAGTATGAAATGTTAAAATTACAACATGGTAGTACAAACTGTGCGTCCTGTATAATTTACGAACAATATTTTATAATAGGAAAATTATCATATTTCTGGGTGTATTTTTGTAGAATATAATTATCTTGATATATAAGACATTGATTAGGAATAATAGAATACCTTTGATTTGTTTTAATAGAATGCCGATTAATAGAAACTATTTTATTAGAAATAAAATGAAAAGAAAACCATGAAAAGCATAAAAAGATTATTAGAATACTTCAATGATATATTCTAATTATGATTAGTAGAATGCCTTAATCATTTTTTATTACGACTAGACTTTCTTAATACTTTCTGATTAGGTTTATTTTCTATAGAACAGTTTAATAATATTTTACGATTTGGATTAATTAATTTGACTATTTAAATCATTCGATGTTACTTTGTTGATATAAACGTAAAATGTATGATAAAAATAAACGTAATGTCGGTTAAACGTAAATTGTATGGCAAAGTAATTGAATTGGAAACAGAGGTGTGGTTTAAATTAAATTTTGTCATGACAATGTTATAAACGGATTTAATTTAATTTGTGCATTATATATTTACAATTAGCTTGTCAAATAACAATTTAATGAAGTTAAAACCAAAGCTGTCAAAGATTCTGTGTAAAAAGAGTGTGGGTACTCTACAAAATTAATTTTAAAAATTATAAAAAATTATAAATAATTCAATTAAACAACAATCAATGAAATAATTTTTTTTCGGAGAAAAACAAATAAACAAAACTTAAGTTCCTGAAAACATTGCTTCTGCAAACAAAAAAGGGTTCCCACAAATATTATTACAAAAATTAAAACTAAATTTTTTGATGTGTTTTTAAATAAGTAATATTTAAATACTGAATCAAGGTATTTTATTTTTATTGATTTATATGAATAACGTAACAGTCTATAATTGGTTACCCCGTAAATTCATAATCTGCTACAATTATATAAAAAATTACAAATTAAAAGTTAATTAAAATTAAGCCAAGCTTTTGAGTTTTTGAACTTAACAAGATGAATTTTTCTTAAAAAGCTTTTTTCTGAATAAAAGAAATGAGTATGATTTTAAATGCTCTTCTATGACAAGGAGTAGTGAATACGTAAATACGTGAATTAATCTATGTATTCAATTATAGCAATTATATAAGTAAAACAAAATTAGCTCATACAGTTCAAGCTTATACCCAATTTTTTGAAGTTTTAGCAAATAAATGCTCTCATATAATCCTTCTCAAAACAAAAGAGCCCTCAGCTCTTTTCCTTGACAAAAGGAGAAAAATGAGTACAATTATAAATGTTTTATCGTAAATCTCGAATTAATCTACAGATTCCATTATCCTTGTTTTTGCAGCATCCATAGTACAATATTTCAATGAACTCTACAATCGTATCGTATTTTGAGTATTATCTTGTTGTTATGGTGACATCATTAGAATAATTACTCTCTTTTCCAAGAAATCCGTTCAGATAAAGGAAATATACTGTGTCTCTATACAAAAAAATTGTGTTTAAAATATAGACTTTTAGAGCAACATTGTACGTATTTATCTAGTTTGAAATGTCAAGATCAAACTGGTAATCTGGAAAAATTAATATCGTATTTTGATAATTTAATGGAGTATTTTTTATAGATGTGTCCTAATATTTATTTAATAAATAACATGTTAAGAACTATTGCTCCAAACTTTAAACATACTTTTATTTTGATCCTTATACTAATTTTTTTATAATGCAGTAAGTTATGAAATTTAATTTTCAACATACTGATTTGTATTTTTTGGAAAATATATGTAACCTCATATTCTACCTTTGCCACATTTTACATTTTTACCAAAACTAATGAGATAACTTCAAAGTGATATATTTCAGCAGAATTTTACTCGTGCCATGTTATGATATTAAAGTCATAAACATTATGAAAGTTTCGGAATTTTTAATAATATCAAAGGAAATATTTTCCATTTGAAAGTGTATAGCTTTTTTAATTTTATTTGAACACAAACTACTGAATTTTATGGAAAATCGAGTCTTTATGTACACATTTTAGTACTAGGGGATATTGATAATTATTATTAATTTCTGATTATTTATAGATCAATAATAGAATATTATATTGATATTCATGAAATAAAGTAAAATACTGATTTTATAGCTTAATCCTGAACAATTGGCAAATAAATTTGCATATAAAAGTGGTTAAGAACTTTCGATACATTTATTTTACTGAACGTTTGTAGATTCAAATTTTTGTATTTTATTAGAAAATAAATATATGAGTATATATTTAATTGAAAAAATCGTTAATTAAATGATGGTCACTTGTATAAAAATATATACACGTGTATACAAAATAAAATTAATTTAGGACTCTACTTCTAAAATTAATACATCAAATAAATCAAAAATGGTGTTTCCAATTAATTCATTAAAATAGTTTGATTTGATTTGATGGAAAGAAAGTATATAAAGTAGGTATTAAATATAGTAAATGCTAAAAAAATTATTACGAATTTTAAGAAGAAAAGGCACTTCAATTTATGAAAACCCCTTTTTCTGCAATTATTATTAAAAGTTTTCGTAAAAGCTCGTATAACAATTTTAGTATAAAGTTAGGTTGTATTTTTTTAGGATTTTAATAAAAACAAAATCAATTTTCCTTAAATTATCATAAGTCTACCTAAAAAGTTAAATAAAAATGTTAGTATAAAATTGGGAAAAAAGTATTTTAATTCGAAATTGCCATAAATTAAAAGTGAAAAATAATTTTCTAAAACTAGTATCATAGGTATTCGTAAAAACTTGTATAAATTGTTAGTTCATGCAAGTTGTATTTTGATTTAAGATTTCATCAAATTAAAAGTTTTTTTTGCATACTACGAAAAATAATTTCCTAAAATTAGTATCATAGGTCTTCGTATAAAAGCTCGTTTACAAAATTGGCATAAAATTAGAAAAATTGTATTTCAATAAGATTAAACTAAATTAAAAGTTTTTTGCGTACTATGAATAACAATTTCCTAAAAATTTTATTATAGTTCTTCATATAAAAGCTCATATAAAATGTTAGCATAATATTAGAAAAATTATATTTCAATTTAAAATCAAATTAAATTAAAAGTTTTTTGCTTGCTATGAAAAACCATTTTCCCTAAAATTAAGTCTGATTGTGAGTAAAAACTCTAATGTAAGAAAAATGTCAGTATAAAATTATTTTAGTTTATTTTACTCACATTATTGTACTATGCCTTTTTATTAAATTATTTTATTTTTTTAATACATTTAAATTTTCACACAAAAGCTTAAACAAATTTATTTAAAATTTGATATCAATTTTTTTATTTAAAATAATTAATAAATAGGATTTTTGAAAGCTCAGAATTCTTGGCCTATTATTAATGAATCTCTATATTTTTTCATAATGATACTAAAGCAAAAATAAAGCATTTGTAGATATAAACAAGAACTATGTTTCTTCTGTTGTAAATTAGAAATTAAATTTAACATAAGCATAAGTTTTTAAATGATACATAAATATCAAGCTCGATGTTCCAATATTTGGACCAATATTACTATATCTTTGAAATTTTTTGTAACGGTTTTAACGTCAAATCACATAAAAACATATTATTTCTTTTTACTAAGATTATTTTACTTACATTATTGTTCTCTTCGTTTTTTTCAAACAAAAGTTTTTGTCTAATTCACATTTTCACACAAAAGCTCACTGAACAAAATTATTTAAACCAACTGAAACTTTTTCAGAATATTTTCAAAACGTCACGTGTTACTTTGTAATATTTTAACTGCATACTTTTAAGTTCAAACTCATAATTAGATCCATTTTTAATCAAATCATTGTAACTTACAATTAATTATGAAAAATTAATAATTT